TTTTTTTTTTTCAAAAAACATGAATTGTGTGATTAAACGATTCGTGCATAGTATTGTTTATTCGAAATAGGTGCAAAAGCGCAGCGAATGTATGTTTTCTCTTTACCGTTTAAAACGCCGCTTTCCCTGACTCGATGCATTTACACGCGACACACGCGATTTTTGTATTTTCCGATTTTGTATTTTATCTTATTCGCTCTGATTACACGAGACTGTATGCGATAATAAACTTTTGCTATGAATTAGAAAAGCGAAAGACGAAATTGGCCAGATGTTACTAGAAACAAGGTATAATTCACTTTCGCCTACCTGTACATATGTCCATTTCTATAGGTGATTTAATGCAACAGCGTCCGCGTCCTCATTCGTGTTAGATCACAAAATATCGAATTCATATTCCACTCCGAAGATCAATATAAAACAATGTTTATGCAAAATTGATGCGTAACTGATAGACTGAAATGTAATTGTAGTGAAACAAGTCGAAAGAACATTTTTTAGCTATATGTTACGATCACTATTATTGTCGACGGTAAACGTTACGTTTTCAATGGAACGAAAAGATTTTTACATTTGTTTGCCGGACTGCATACCATTCACGCGTCATGGATTCACGGTGAAGATGCACGCACCGCAACGGAGAAGGTGCGTTAGAATCGCGACCGCGCTCGGTCGACCGAGTTACTATTATAGAGCAGTCTAATGATCGTCTATGAGCCAGATGCGCAATGTTATCGCTCATGTCCGTATTGTCAATCGTTGCGAAAATAACCGTACTTTTACTCATCTTTCAAAAAAAGGAGATACATTTTCGCAAGTTATTGAAGCATTTCGAATTTATCTTTCGAAAAAAAAAGATTTTAATCAAGTGCGTGAATATTCTGTTTCAGGCGTAAGGGGAGAGGGTGCATCGTCGAAGCGTTGGAGGGTTTGAGGCAGTAAAACTGGCTGGCCTACAATGTCCGCTAGTATGCGGAGCACTTTGCAAACTGTTCCAGAATCAGTGCCGGCCGACCACGTCACAAACTCCAAAGTAAGTACGAAAATTTATGGGAAAACGAAACCCATTAAGCTCATGTAATCGTAACTGTTCTCTCGAAGATGAAATGGCTCATCGTGTTTTTAAAAATGTTACGAATGCGCAATTTTGTATCTCGTGTGCGTTCCATTTCGAAGTACAATAGAAGAAAGAACACGATCGCTATTTCGTCGATCGATAATGTGCCTTGTCACGCAAAAGTGTTAAGGGTATGGTTGAAGGTTGAACGATTACGTTCAGAAAAAGATTTGCATTTGCGGTGTCCGCAAAACAAAATTATTTTGTTTGAAGCTTCGCATCGAAGTTGCGATTAGAAAATAATAAAAGAAAAAAAAAGAAAAATATGATCGTTTAAAAATTGAATCAAAATAATATTAATTTATCGTTAGTGTAACGATCTGAACGTAATCGTGTATTTGATTATGTTGCTCTGTTGTGACGGATGCGTAATTCAAGGGTGCTTCGTGACATGTTTGATTAACGGTTCGGGGTACCGCAGAGTACTAACGTAATATTTATCGATAAAAAAAAATATCTAGAGTCTGATTGTAAGAAAAGAAGGAAAACATATTTCGCGCTTACGATTGAATTCGTGAAATCGATGTTGTACTCAATCGGAAATTGCAAACGTTACCCGAATACTTGATTTTTACTCGGTCGAATAGGTCGGATTCTGTTTCGCGCATCGAGATATCGTGCAATACCCGATGACTCGGCTGAACAGGTTTCCACGATTGGTTGCTTTCGAATTTTCTCTCGGTAATGTGGTCGGTCGGTGGCCGAGTTTATTTTTTGAATCAATTGCATCTTGCCAGTTTTCATATCATATGCGTCATATAATCTAATAAAACTTGAATAAGTTGAATTGATATCGTTTATATTCACTTCGTCATAATAATTGTATATATTCGATAATATAATTTATTTATCATTTGATTAAGTAGTTGAACGTACATCGAATATTCGATGTTTTGATGATTGGAAAATTTTTATATTTTTCCCAACTATATAAGGATATATACTCGGCTAGTATCAATATTATTATTATACAGATTTTTTCATTTTCTCTTTCCAATTATTCATTAGATGATTATCAAAAAGAAAGTTTGGTTAATCGGAAATGCATTGCATCATATTGAAATATTAAATTAGCAATTTTCAAGAGAGTATCATTTCAAGCTATCATCTTATATGTATATTTTTTTGATTAGAAAATTTTATTTATTAGTTTACATGACATGCCTTTTCCTTTGAAAGAGGACAAGAGAAAAAGAGAGATAGAAGAAAAATTGTCAAATTGATAAAACTTATTTAGCTTTACGGTGTTTCGACGAGAATGTTTCGCATTATATATTCGGTCGAATTGTTGCGAGAATCGGATAGTACGTTGGGCAGAATTGTATGGGCGCTGATTCGTTTACAAAGATCGCGTGTATACCAGTCGACTCGCGCGACGTTCCTCCTTCTTACTTTCTTTTCATCTTTCCTTTTTCATCTAATCGAGAATTGCTCTCTTTTCGTCGACACGCTTATTCATTGGCGTTGATAATTGTTCGTTGAGCTGAATATCAGCTGGGAATGCCATGTAATAAGAAGTGAAACACTAATTGAAGAAACGATTTAAAAGATCCAATTGTTCTTATTCTCGAAATATCATAATACAATCAATCTAATATATAATTCGTATAATCGAACGAATTGATTATAAGGAATAATAATATCAAATGTATATAATATTGCGAATAGAAAATAATTACCTGTGGATTTGTTGGTAAGAAAATATATTACTAACACGCCCTCGTTCTTGATGTCGGGGTTATCGGTTCACCTTGAATTGCTTGAATTCGATTGACCGCGAACTTTGTGCTCGCTAGCTGATGCCTAAGTTTAGCCACTATCTTAAACGAATTCGTTTATAATTATTCGTTAAGCATGAATCTAGTTCACGGCATTTCGCCAATTTGTCGCAGACTATGATGCATATAGCGAACCATACATACAGATCCTTTTTCCAAAGAAAAATTATTATTCAATTTTTTTTATAACTATTTAATTTTGTTATTGAGATTTGGTTTGTCTCCATTTTAATCTTTTATCGTTTATAGTCTAAATTTTTTTTTTGTTTTTTCGAAAAAATATCTGTTTTTCCCATATACAAGCAAGCGTTGTGGAAAAGTCTGATTATAATGAAACAGAGAAGATCGAAGAAAGCGGCACAGTGAGAGAAGTGATTAGAGAAGAGAATCGTGAACTACGGTACAATATTTTTATGGTTAAACAGAGATTTATCCTCAATTCAAGTATTGTCCTGACTGCTCTATCTTCGAACTCGCAGATCAATCCATCATTGATACTAGACACAAACATTTTTGTTTTTAACTGCACAGCTATTGTATGCTGCCTTTCTCCTCACTATTTCATTTTTTAATAATATTTACATTGAATCACATTAATTGTATAAACACTTACATTGAATTAGAATGTTTGAATTTGTCACAAAGCTCATTTATTTTTCATCGCTTCACCAATTCGTCATAGACAATTTTTTGTTTCTAGTTTTCTGTTATCTTTCCAGCTTTCTTTGCAGTATAATCTTCTCAAACTAACTCTTCAAATATAGTCACAATTAAAAGTCACGAATGAAACGAGAACGGTTACTAGCTAGACAGCGCACCGATAGAGTTTCAAATTCACTTGGCAAAACTAACGCCAGATGGCGATCGTTACCTTTCTGCACGAATTCATGTAACGGGAGAAGAGAGAAAGAAAACGATACAAAAGGGCACTCGATGAGATTTCTTAACTTCATTGTATCGAATGAACTTATAATATCCATAATATAAAGTATTTCATTTCCATTCCAATCCATTATAGTTTTGAAAAATATATAGGGATAAATAATATTATTCATTAAATATATATAAATAATGTTACTGTTTTTTATTAATTTTTATTCGTATATCAAATAATTTATAATTTCACGATTCGATTTGTGAACGCGAATCTTCTTCGATACAGCTATAAAACAGTATGAAACAGCTGCTAGCTGGTCAAGAACGACAGCGATCGCCATAAATGGCAGTGCAACCGTTCATTGAGAATCTATTGTCCCCACTTATACACAATTCTTTTACATTCCCCCATCTCGAGTCGAGTCAATTGTTTTCATGTCGATTTCCACCTACGGATGGTGAATAACTGCAGAACGATCACCAAACAGTGTATAGCAACGCAATATATGTATATCACTGAACATTTCATAACGAAATCTTCGTTGTTGATTGATTCACGACACGCAGTTTTGTTATATTTTTCTTTTTACAATAAACGTAAATGATTGAGACAGCGTTACATTTCAGGAACTCATATATATTTCATAAAATAAAATTTTATATTAATACATATTTACAAAATTACAAAGAACGAAAATTTAAATTCTGAAAATTAGTTCTAAAAGAAAAGAAAATTACATTCAAAATTATTCGTGGCACATTATGAGAATTAATTTTAAAAACTGAAACAAATACAAAACTTGATATGGAAAAATATCGATTAAGATTTATTTATTAAGTTATAAATAATCGAAAATTGTATTAAATGAAACGATTCACTCTGTTTTCGTTTCATTACTATTGTTCTCTATTCTGATTTTAATTGACATTTTGTTAATGTATTTGCTTTTCT